AGACTGTTATAAACTAAAAGTCCATTGGAGTAAACTGGGAATTTGGGGTATGGTAGCTTTTCATTAGCTGAACTGTTTCCCAGGAGGATGAGGAAAGCATCTCTTCCTCCAGATGGAAGAGTAGAGTAGTAACCATGTGTAAGGTCAAGCCCATCTCTTCCTGCTGGGTCTGCAACTGACAAGAAGTGTTGGGGCCAAAAGCTCCCAACTCCATTTTAGTGAGGTTTTCTGTTGCTAATTTTCACAGTACTAAAAATGCGCAACACTCCCACAGTCTCAGGGCTTATAGTTCATGAGAGGAAATACTAAAGAAAATCCATATCAGAGTCAATTTTGTAAGGGTTCTTACACTAAGTGTTATGGAAAGCACAGAATCTCATGCAGTACAAAATAGGGCAAGCTTCCTAGAGGGTATAATGCTTTCATTTGTCTTGACAATAAGCAGAGATCAGGCATGTGAATATGGAGAAAGAGTGTTCTAGGCAGAGCAAGTGGCATGTGCAAAAATACAGAAGCTCGAGAAGCCTGACACACTTAGAGAAGATAAAGTCATGTGATACAGATAGAATGAAGAATGCAGACTGGTGGGTGGTAACTGATGAGGCTAGAGAAGATAGCCAGGGTCTCATCATGAGAAATGTGTGTCCCATGCCAAGGAGTATACTCTTTACCCTGAAGGCAGTAAAGAAAGTGGGCAATATTGGGGTCAGGGAGTTTAACTGGGGGTCACTATTGATGATCAAAGCCAGAGATCTAGAGATACCAGCCTAATGGAGAGAGAGCAGAATGCAGTGATGGTCTAATAAATGTGGTGGTTCCCCATGTTTATATGCATAAGAATCAGCAGGGGAGCACTTCTAAAATACAGATGTCTGGACCCAAACCAGACCTACTTGGACTTTATATTTTTTTTTCAAAGCTCCCCTGAGTTCTTATAATGCAACCGGTCCCCTGAATGGTATTTGGGAACCACAATTTTATCCCAAACTGTAGGACAAGAACATAAAAATAGTTTGTCTTACTCATTTCAAGCAATGGAGCAGATAGATATAAGGTCCACCTGAAAGAGTAAAAATTTGGAATGATAGAATATTTTTAAAGAAATACAATTTTATTATTTCCAACTGCTTAGAGTAACTAGCCATGTGAACAAAATATTGATTGGTAGAGGTCAATATAATAATGCTTCACAATGAAAATGACTAATTAGTAAGTTTTTGTAATTCACATTTGTAATAAGGTAATCTACTTTTGCTCTATAAGCTTGCTCCCTCTAGTAGATTAAATATTACCCTTATAATCTTTCTCTTTTTTTTAAGATTTTATTCACTTATTTGACAGAGAGAGACACAGCGAGAGAGAGAACACAAGCAGGGGGAGTGGGAGATGGAGAAGCAGGCTTCCCGCCAAGCAGGGAGCCCGATGCAGGGCTCGATCCCATGACCCTGGGATCATGACCTGAGCAGAAGGCAGACGCCTAACAACTGAGCCACTCAGGTGCCTCACCCTTATAATCTTTCTTAAACTTAGATTAGTCTTCACAATGTTTTTATTTTTATAGAGTCAAAGATAAACTTCAGTCCAACCTTTGATCAAAAGATCGTAAATTCTAAATCAGTGCTGTCTGAACTAACTTGATTTTGCTATATAGTCCTCTGATATTCAGAAAATTCCATATTAGGAAAATACTTCATCATATGATCATTTATTTTAAACAGATAAATTGTAGCATATTCTATCTGCTAGGAAATTCAGACTATCAGTATTTGTGCTTAAATGTATATTTTTAAAGTTGGCTCCACGCTGGGTGTGGAGCCCAATGTGGGGCTTGAACTCAAGACCCTGAGATCAAGACCTGAGCTGAAACCAAGAGTCAGACACTTAAAAAAAAAAAAAAAAAGAGCCAGGCACTGAGCCACCCAGACACCCCTGGCACTGCTTATATTTTAAATTATGTATGTGAGTTACATTTATCTATTTTGAAAGCTGTGTCTTCCTCTTTTTGGCTTGTCATCTTATTCTGTCTCCACCTTTCCATCCTAAAAGTCCAAATGCATTTTTATTCAATGTACTGTGAAACACCCAAGCTCCCTAGAGATAGAAACTGTGTGTCCTATTTTTGTCCCTAACTCCAAGCTCAGGGCCTGGACAAGAGAGATGATTGATATGTATTTGTTTATTAATAAGAATCATTCTCCCTTTCTATCAATCTGTCAGTCTGTCATCACCAACACCAGCAAAGATTATTACATGATCTTCAGAAAAGAAATTTGTGATGTCACCATCAATTATTGACAAATTACACCATTACCCTCAGCAAACCCCAGTTTTACCCAGATTTATCTAAACACATAGACATCTGCTTCAGCCAACATAGGAAGAAGTACATATAGAAATAAAGCTTTTTTTTAACAGCTGTATACCAATCAACCATAATTAAGATTATCACATGATCTTCAGGAAAGAAATTTGTGATGTCACCATCAATTATTGACAAATTACACCAGTACAACTCTCAGAGGAGAGTCTTGCCTGGACTCTGAAATTACTATAGGAGCTCAGACATCAGAACCAGTTCTCATCACTCCAAGTGCCCTTAAAAGTGACCTGACAGAGGAGCCAACCACATTTCAAAGCCACTTTATTGGTGCTCGAAAAAACTAACATGTTGGTTATAGTACAACAATCTTAGTTTAGCTATTCCAAATCTATGACTGGTTTAGTAAGATTAACCCTCATGACCTATAATCCTAGCAACAGAGGCAAACATGTGTTGAGCACTTATTTGAAGTCAGGCTTTGTGCTAAGCACTTTGTCTAATCTCAGCCTGATAACAATTGTTCAATGTTGTGATTATTAATGAACCCCATTTTACAGGAGAAACTGAGGAAATTGACTTAAGTGACTTGCCCATGGCTATAAAGTCATTAAGGGTGGTAGAATCAGGATATAAACCCCATCTGACACCAGGGCTCTCATGTTTAACTCTACTCTGTACTAATAAAATTACCTGGTCTTGAGAAAAACAATTGGTATTTCTTTGCCTCATGAAATACAGTTGACCCTTGAACATCACAAGGGTTGGGGCGCTGAACCCCACACAGGTGAAAATCTATGTATAACTTTTGGCTCCCCCAGAACATAACTACTAATAGCCTAATGTTGACGAGAAGCCCTACCGATAACATAAACAGTCGATTAACACAAACCTTGTATGTTATGTGTATTATATACTGTATTCTTACACTAAAGCAAGCTAGAGAAAAGAAATGTTATTAGAAAATCCTAAGTACTGTGAAACACCCAAGTATAAGTGGACCCACGCAGTTCAAACCCATGTTGTTTGAGGGTCAACTGTATTTCCAAGTTTGAGAATTTGGTTGGGTAGGGAAGTCAGGCACTTAGTCTTACCAAGGACATTGTATTTGACCATGTTGAAACATCCAGAAATAGTTTACATATCAGTATGACTCTAGTATTATGCAATTTGAAGCCCCTGCCTTCCGCATTCCTTCTATCTCTCTTTCTCATTCATTCACTCATCCATTCATTCATCCATGCCTACCACAGGCCAAGATGAGGCCTTTTGAACATGAACAGGAGCAATGCCTTTAACTTTCCTAGTCCAGAATCAAGGCTCCGATGATACTGCTGTTGCAGTTTCAGGAGAATCCTTATAAACAAAGACTTATTTAGCAAGTATTCTACATACCGCTCTTAAATGACATAATCTGAGTACAAACATTGTTTTAGCTTTGGTACCTCATATTGGTACTAATAATCTTGAACTTAGCACATAGTGAGGCCCAATGCATATAAAAAACTTTGCTGATAAAAGAGGTGAGATCCCATGGTTTACTCTTTTTTAAGGCTTTGAGATCAGGGTCAGCCAGCTTTCTAGGTGATTAGAGTTCAGTGTGGTGTTAACTGTGTGTAAGTGTTTGAATGCTAAGGGAGTTTGCATTAAAATATGAAGGGGTTTCCCTCTCATACACAAGGATACAATGACCCTGAACTCTGGATGAATAAATCATGGTATTTTAATTTTCAACCACTAGCCTCAAATTGCTCAGAAGCATTTACTGAGGATTTCTTGGGTGACATTATTTAAATTTTCTTATGCAAGCCTCTTTGATAACCTGCTGATTTCAGTGTGCTTAGAGGAAATTATAAACTCAACCATATTATGAGCTACCTCCAGTTTTAACAAAGAATACTCACCAACATTTATATTCAAGTTTAAGATCTGATTGGTACTAATGCTTTCACTTTTATCACTTGAGGAAGGTTGATTTGCATAAAGCATAAAATGAAGGTAGGGCATTCAAATTAAGATGTGAAAACTACCTGCCCCCAGAAGTATTCATTTTTTTTAAAGATTTTATTTATTTATTAGAGAGAGAGAGAAAGAGACAGAGCATGAGCATGAGCAGGGGGGGAGGAGACAGAAGGAGAAGCAGACTCCCCGCTGAGCAGGGAACCCAACAGGGCTCAATCCCAGGATCCTGAGATCATGACCTGAGCCAAATGCAGAGGCTAAACTGACTGAGCCACAGAGGTGCCCCAGAAGTATTCATTTTAATTGAAATTCTCCATTATGTTTTCTGACCAGTGCCCCAGAATTTATTGGTTCCTAAAGGAAGGTGGGTATAGTCTCCCAGGGCGATTTTTGGAATGGGTCTAATTGTCACAATGGCTGGCATTAAATAGGTAGAGACCTAGGATGCTAAATATCCTGCAATGTGCCAAAAGGAGGATTGTCCCCACTCCCATTCCCACCAATGGTAATAGCCCCTCCAGGGAGCAACACTGGAGGGCCCTAACTGGGCCCTATCTCATGGGATGATGATGTTATACCCCATTACCCAGACACTGCCATCACGCTACAACAATGAAAGAGAATCACATCTCCCAAGGGTTAGATTTGGAAAAAGTGTAAAACACTAAGGGATTGTTATAAATGCAACATGACTATCATTCTTTTTTATTTGATTCTTCAGGAAAATGTTGAAGATGGTCGAGCAAGTATCTATCAATCTGTCATCACCAACACCAGCAAAGAAATGTCTTGTTTCAGTGATTTTCCAATGCCTGAAGACTTTCCAAACTTCCTGCACAATTCTAAGCTCCTGGAATATTTCAGAATTTTTGCCAGAAAGTTTGATCTTCTAAAATATATTCAGTTCCAGGTATTGTATTTTGGGGAGAATGGTTTTCTCTACATGGGTTCAGCTCACATTTAAATAGAGAAGTTACTCTGGTAATGAAAGAAATTGTGAATAAAACCAAGTGTTCCAATCCAATTCTTTCCTGGAAGATAAGAGCATGATAGAAGACCTAAAAGGCAGTGATATTAAAGATTATGTACACATTAGCGAAGAGGAAAATCACCTGTTAAAACTAAGGGTTTGAATAATGATGATATTGATGAAACTGCAATTAAGCTAATACCTATAACCACTGCAGACTCCTAGCCTCATTTCCCTTGAAAGGACAGAAGAAAAAAATCAAACTACTATTTCATTTCCTGATCTTCTCTGTAGAAATGGAATTTCTAAGAAAAAAATGTACTAAATAAGCTCACAGTTCTCCATTTCATAAGCCTGTAGAAACTATTTTTGGTATTTGGGGGCGGGGGGTGGGCATGATGCATTCTCTAGCAACATAAGAATGGCAGGATCATTTTGAAATACAATTATAACTACCTTTCCTGTGTTACCTCAAAAACAAATAATCAACAAGAAAACAATATTCTCACTAAATATGCTGAATTTTTATCAATAACCTACACTCTGAAAACTAGTAACTGTGCTTGTAAATAAAATTAAATTATATCTCTGAATAAATGTTAGTGAGTTAAAATTTTTTTTTAATTTAAATTCAATTTAGTTCAGGGGTAGAATTTAGTGATTCATCAGTTGCATATAACATCCAGTGCTCATTACATCAAGTGCCCTCCTTAATTCCCATCACCTAATTACCCCATGTCCCCACCTACCTCCCCTCCAGCAACTCTCAGTTTGTTACCTGTGGTTAAGAGTATCTTATGGTTTTTCTCCCTCTCTGTTTTTATCTTATTTTATTTTTCCTCCCCTTCCTCGATATTCATCTGTTTTGTTTCTTAAATTCCACATATGAATGAAATCATATGGTATTTGTCTTTCTCTGACTGATTTATTTCACTTAGCATAATATGCTCTAGTTCCATCCACATCACTGCAAATGGCAAGATTTCATTCTTTTTTGATGGCTGAGTAATATTGCATTGTGTGTACATAACTACATCTTCTTTATCCTTTCATCTGTCAATGGACATCTGGGCTCTTTCCATAGTTTGGCTATTATGGACATTGCTGCTATAAACATTGGGGTGAATGTGCAACTTCAAATCACTATGTTTGTACCCTTTGGATAAATACCTAGTAGTGCAATTGCTGGGTCATAGGGTAGTTCTATTTTTAACTTTTTGAGGAACCTCCATACCGTTTTCCAGAGTGGCTGCACCAGCTTGCATTTCCACCAACAGTGTAAGAGGGTTCCCCTTTCTCCACCTCCTCACCAACATTTGTTGTTTCTTGAGTTGTTAATTTTATCCATTCTGATCCCTGTGAGGTGGTATCTCACTGTGGTTTTGATTTTTATTTCCCCAATACCGAGTGATGGTGAGCATTTTTTTCATGTGTCTGTTAGCCATTTGTGTGTCTTCTTAGAGAAATATCTGTTCATGTCTTCTGCCCATTTCCTGACTGGAGTTTTTGGGTTTTGGGTGTTGAGTTTGATAAGTTCTTTATTGATTTTGGATACTAGCCCTCTATCTGATATGTCATTTGCAAATATCTTCTCCCATTCTATTGGTTGCCTTTTAGTTTTGTTGATTATTTCCTTTGCTGTATAAAAGCTTTTAATCCTGATGAAGTCCTAATAGTTCATTTTTGCTTTTGTTTCCCTTGCCTCTGGAGATGTGTCTAGCAAGAAGTTGCTGTGGCCAAGGTCAAAGAGGTTGCTGTCTGTGTTCTCCTTTAGGATTTTAATGGATTCCTGTCTCACATTTAGGTCTTTCAGTGAACTAATTTTTTTGTAACACTTCTCATTTTCTCAGTAATTTCAGTTTTGTTCCAGGTTTGTATTATATTAATTTATAATAGCTGATTGTGGTGGAAATCTATATTTGTAAATGCCATTAAAATGTATCTAAGGTACTACATTAGAAAACTATTACCCATCTCCTGGGGGATCCATCTTATGAATAACAGATCTTTTTATACCAGAAGTGGGTCTTTGTCCATTTGATTATCAATTTATTTAACAGATATACTGCCCTCTTATGGTATGTACTTTTTATTATCTGTTCTTTGAAAGATCAGGTTAAAGTTGTAAGAGAGCTATTTCTCTTATTTATTGTATTACTGCTGTTCAGTTTCCTGAAGGTTAGAGAGGAGTTAGGGACACTCATTTCCATTATTGGTCTCTGAGTTGGTATTAGCCATAAGATGTTAGGCTGTAAAAGGTTCTGTTGCATTTCTAATAAACTCCTGAGTGAATACTGAAGGTGTTGGTTCTCAAACCATATCTTGAATAGCAATAATCCACAGTACTTTAGCTAATCTACTACCCTAAACTGTAAATCTGAAATCTTTAATCTCAGCCAAAATTGCCCAGACATTTTATAGTCCTTTGCAAGCTTTATGCTAATAGTCTGTATATATTTTTTTAATGGAAACAACTTCAAAAATTGCCAAACCAGCATTTTTTTTAAATATCTGAAAATTTGAAAAGCATGTATATGGGACTCAAATACTCATAAGCAGGAGGAACATGCCATTACTCTAGGAGTGAGAAAAACTTTGCTTCCGCTTGACATTGTTTCTTAAACATCAAAGATGTAAAACCTTTATGGATACTTTTAAAAAGTCATAGCCCTTCAGACAGTGAGCTACATAAAAAAAATTAATGAACATAAATTATTTCATCCAAATGAGATCATGAACTATATTGCTAACATGATGTACTCAGTTTGAAAAATAATAACATGAACAACTACCATTCATAGGATGCTGACAATGTGCCAGACACGATGCAAAGTGCTTCACATGAAATATCTTCTCTAATACAGAGTCTGCACAGAGGTGGACACATAAAAGATTCTTAATAAATACTGACTATGTGATCATTTGAATGATGGGCATGTGTTCTATATCTTGCCCAGACTTTGTGTTTCTTTTATGTCTCTCTCTCTTGAGTCCTTATTCAGTCTTTAGCAGACTGGTTCCCATGGCTGAGTCTTGCACAAAGTACCATATCCTTGGTAGCTCCCCACCAAAGAAGAATGAGAAGGGGGCACTTAGCAGTCTTTGCTTTAAGCATTTTGAACTGGATTCATATGGAACCTAAATGGAGTCACACCTTGCATTCTACCCATTCCCACTCCCAGGGTACTGTGTGAAGCCCCTGTTATGCCAGAGTAATGTTCAATTATGCCTTCTCTGTGTTTGTTCAAGACAACTGTCCTCAGTGTGAAAAAACACACGGATTTCTCATCTTCTGGCCAATGGGAGGTTGTTACCGAGAGCAACAGCAAGAAGCAAAGTGCTGTCTTTGACGCAGTTATGGTTTGCAGCGGCCATCACATCCTCCCTCACATCCCACTGGAGTCATTTCCAGGTGAGGCCTGTGGGGATTCCCAGCTTTACAGAGAGGGTGTTGTTGGGGAGGAAAATTTTTTACTTACCTTTCAACATTCTTTGGGCTTAGTCTAAGAGTTAAATTGACATGAGACAGATTAATAAGAAAAAAATAAAATGCAACCATGCATATAGAGACTCCATAAGAATATGAAGCCCACAGGCAGTCAGGCAATTGCAGCTTACATGCCATTCTGAGCTAAAGAGAAGGATGTAGGGGCTGGGGACTACAAAGGGAAGGATGACAATTCACAGGAAGATGAAAAAGGATAAATGTTTGGTAAACTAATGTTTCCTGGACCACTCAGAAACAGTGGGACACAGAGAGGAATTTTAACAGACTGCTCCTCCCTGTCTACCTCACCTAATTCTATTATACTGTAGTTGTCTATGGTGACAGCTCCCTTCCTGGAGCAGATCCTCTATCTAAATTCTTTTAGGCAGTTGGGGGGAAAGTCAAAGTTTTTCTAAGCCTTCTGTTTCTTAAAAATTATTAGCCTAAAATAATCCACATGCCAAGGAGACACATTTTGAGGTGACAAATTTTGCTCCCCTACAGTGTTCAGGTATTTTATATGGAGGTTGGATTGACAAGCAGAATTAGTTACTGCAACTGGGCGTAATATTAAGATCTGGATAGAGCTAGAAGGATGAAAGTCTCCACATACCATCTTTGTTTCTGTTGACCTCTTTGGGTCTTCATGACACCAGGACTTCAGCAACATCCTCCAAAGTCACTAAACCTTCCACAGAACTTCAGAGAATTTTCACCCAAATTGGTTCTCTGTTGGAGAGGCCCTTATAGCCATATGCCTACCATGGCCTTTATCTATCCTGCCAAACACCATGACTTTTTTATGTCCTTGGAGACTTTTCCTCAGAGCCATGCTTACAGATGGGTTATTGAGGAGATTCCCTGGAAATAAGTGTTCCTACTGGACAGAGAGAAGGAGAGGAGTGCAAACAAGGGAACCCCACAACCATCTGTCCTGGTAACTCCCAGACCCTTCTCTCAGAGAGCGTACTTCCTTCTGAAGGCCCTCAGGGAAACATCTAATACAGTGGTTCACAGTCCAGGCCTCACATTCAAACCATCTGTTGAGCTTCTAACATCCTTATGACTTCCAAAGTTCAATTAGTATAGGGTAGGCTTAGATCATTTAAGGGTTACTCAAGGGATTTTAATATGCAGCCAGGTAAGGGACACCTGGATGACACAGTTGGTTAAGCCTCTCTTGGTTTCAGCTCAGGTCATGATCTCGGGATCGTGAGGTCAAGCCCCCTCCCCCCCAATCCCAACTAGGGCTCCATGCTCAGTGAAGAGCCTGCCTGAAAATCTCACTCCCTCTCCTTCTGCCCCTCCCTCAAACCCCAACCCCCACTCGTGCTCTCTCTCAAATAAATAAATTTTAAAAAAAAGTATGCAGCCAGGTGTGAGATCTTCTACCCTAAAGCATTGATTCTCAAAAAGAATTACCTGAAGGACTTTTAAAAACAACTTGCAAGGCTCCACCTCTGGCATTTCCAACTCAGTAGATATGGTATCATGAAGCTGAGATTTTGCCTTTCCAACAAGTTCCCAGGTTCCAGCTAAAAATGCTGGTCAAAGGACCACACCTTGAAAACTAATGATCTAAAGGTTCTTTCAAGAAACCCACCATCAAAGACAATTATTTAATAAAGTCATATTTTCCTGGGAAAGATACAGCGAAGCTTATCTTCAAAATGGCTTATCCAAGGGGGCGGAACACGATGGTGGAGGAGTAGGAGACCTGGATTTC